TTGTCTAGTTTATTATCCAAATTTTTTGTTTTTATAGACAGGTTTCTGTGGTCTTTTTGGCACTTCAGTTGATGCAATCGATTATTACTCTTCTGAGATTCGGAAGCTGAGTGAAGCAGTAAGTTTACACGCACTGTAGAGACTTTACTAGGGATTTTTTCTAATTTCATATCCTGTTTCTTGCAGTACTTTGTACCTGCCATTCTTTCTTCGACAATTATCATTACCTCTGTTTCTGCCATCATTATTCTTGGCATAATGGGAAACAATTTAAACACTTTGTTAGCACGTGTCTTTTGATGCTGAAACTGTCACGTACTGATGTAGTGTTTATATGGTTAAAGTTTCCAATGCAGATTCTATATCAATTGGCAGTTGTTGTATCGTCTCTCTTGGTTAATAAGCACTCTCTCCCCTACATCCTTCCAGGCACACATACATTGGCACATGAGAAAACCTTTTACTTTCATTCTTAGCCAATTAAGATAAGAATTGATAGGAACAAGGCAACATTAAGATGATATATAGTTTACCTTCCAGGAAACATCATATTCTCTCCCTCCTTTTTCTTCCTTTCTCTTCAACAAGGAATAGAAGAAAACATGAAGCTGCACGAGGCAATACTTGAATTTGCACTTTTTTTTTCGTTCTTTTAAAGTGTAAATTTTTTTTTTTGATAAATAATGCGTAATTTAGTTACTTATAAGAAAATTTTAATTTCTTCATTCTTATGTAGGAAGCAGCAGAAAGAGACAGAGTCATGAGCGATCCAAAGGCCATAGTTCCAGCAGCATTTGTTTCATTCAAATCCCGATGGGGGGCAGCTGTATGTGCTCAAACACAGCTATCCCGTAATCCAACAATTTGGTTGACAGAATGGGCCCCAGAGCCACGAGATGTTTATTGGAATAATCTTGCAATACCATATTTTGAGCTCTCTATTCGAAGGTTGCTCATGGCTGTTGCCTTATTTTTTCTTATTTTCTTCTTCATGATCCCTATAGCTTTCGTTCAATCTCTAGCCAACATTGAGGGGATTGAGAAGGTTTTTCCTTTCTCGAAGCCATTAATCGAAATGTAAGTTCCTTTTCAGTGTTGTCCTATTAACTTGGCATTTCCTTATGTGTCCTCAATATTTTCCTTGCTATAACAATAGTCATTCATGTGTTTGACCTACTAAAATTTATCCTGATTTTATACTTCCATCTTGTCCAACCATTTTGTCAAGCAGGACATTGTTAGGGATGGGGATATTGCACTACCAAAATTAAATCAATATGGAAAGAAGTTTTTTAACCATTTCCTTCTTGAACCATATGAAACACTATAGAACCAATTACTTGTGCTCCTTTTCAGGCAATTCGCTGCTGGTAATGTAGCCATATTTCTGACTTGCCATGATGAAAAGCTACACTTTTCTCTTTAGTGTAATTTTTATAATGAACCTGTGGAAAATTTTCACTTGCTTACTGCTCGAACTGGCTCCCAGTTGGAGAGGAGGAAAAAGTTCTTTAAAAAATGGGTATATTATAGCAATTGCAGTCAAGTCTATTGCCTGATCTTAATCACAGGCTGATATCTAGACATAACCATAGGTTTCCCCTATTCCTTGCAACTAGTAATGATGTTTTGAGACTTTTAGTAGCTAAGTTTTCAACTGTTGGAAAACACTTGTTCAGGGAGTCTTTCAAGTCCATCATCCAAGGCTTTCTCCCTGGGATTGTACTGAAGATATTTCTTATTCTACTTCCAACTATTCTTATGACAATGTCCAAAATAGAAGGATTTTCATCACTCTCAACTTTGGATAGAAGATCAGCTGGGAAATATCACCTATTCATTCTCGTCAATGTATTTCTTGGAAGTATTATCACAGGCACAGCATTTCAGCAGCTTAAAACCTTCCTTCACCAGCCTCCAGCAGAGTACGTACCTGCCTCTTCCCAGAAAAATGGATGCGTTAACACATTTAACACTATGATAAACACATGCAGTTTGAATACTGAAACAAATTGATAGTCAAAAACCAAGGTTGGTGCATCAAGAAAATAAGTTAGAGCAGAAATCATTTGATATATGTTCTGACAGAAATATGTAGCTACTTGAACTGAACTCAAATGTGCCAATTCACTAGGTCTTCTTATAAATCTGTTCTTCTAAGTTTTGGTGATCAGAGCTATGATATACAACTTTAATAGATCATAATTGATATTGGACAGCTGATTTTCTTCATTTTTTTACCCTTTAAGTTCCTTCTATTCTCTCTTCAGTTGCAGTGCATGCTTTTCTGTGTAATGATCCTCTATTCACGTGTTTATGATTTGATGTTCTGCTGATGAGTATACCATTATGTCTGAAGGCCAGAGACCTAGCTTTCTTTCTCATGGTATTTATATCATGCTGTTTTTTCTTAACATATCTGATAATTTGGATGTGTGATTGACTGGAGATATTTTGTTACTTATGTAGGATTCCAAAAACCGTTGGTGTATCTATCCCAATGAAAGCCACTTTTTTCATTACTTATATAATGGTTGATGGATGGGCGGGGATTGCTGCAGAAATCCTCAGATTAGTACCATTAGTCATATTCCACCTGAAAAATACGTTTTTAGTTAAAACAGAACAAGATAGGGAGCAAGCAATGGATCCTGGTAGCATTGACTTTGCAACATCCGAACCAAGGATACAATTATATATCTTGCTTGGACTTGTTTATTCGGCTATCACACCTGTACTTCTTCCTTTCATCATCATCTTCTTTGCTTTTGCCTATTTGGTATTTCGCCACCAGGTACACTAGCAAACCAAATATTGTATTGTCTTTGCATGTTTAAGCAACGTGAAGCTTAGTAGATTTCCTTTCCTTTCATTATATATTAAATAAATGCTGGAAACATACCTAGATCATTTTTTTCTTCCTTTGATTCATCCTTTCTATTTCGTATTAGTGTTTTAGAGTTGTACCACGCTGGACAGTTAGACCAAGTTTATGATGGAGATATAGTATCCTAGTGATTCAATTGTTAAGCACAGTATATCCAAGGGCTAATTTCCTCGTGCAAATCATTGGCTAACATCTATTAATATGGTGGGGTAAGATATAGTACTTCCCTTGAGGAAGGACTGTTTTTGGCCCCATAGCCGTAGAACCGTGCAATTTATTTTTCATTGTTTTGAAGATGGTACTATCACTCAATCATTTTGTAACAATTAAGGTCATATGACAGCCTCTCTTTTGGTTACATGAGGCATATTGTGCCAATATTCAATATTTCTTGCTCTCGTGGCTATTGCGGCGAAATGATCTCATCTTATGGTATGAAAAACTCACCTTTTCTTTATTCACAATCTTGTTTCTTGCTGCAAGGTTATCAACGTGTATGATCAAAGATACGAGAGTGGAGGCTCATTTTGGCCAGATGTGCATCGGCGTCTGAACATCGGATTAATAATATCTCAACTTCTTCTAATGGGATTGTTGAGCACAAAGAATATTGAGAAATCAACAAGCGCACTCCTTCCCCTTCCTATTTTGAGCATCTGGTTTCACAGATACTGCAAGGGCCGTTTTGAATCTGCATTCGCAAAATTCCCATTACAGGTGAGGAATACTTTGAATTATGATCTTCATGAAGTTTTAAAGAAATAGTTTGCAGAAGTTACATGATGAAACATTAATAAAAAAGAATACATTTACAAGATAATGCATAAAAGTTAGATGCATTTTGGAATTACAAAAAGGATATGATGTTCTATGTTTGGTTGTGGCATGACATCATATACCCGGTCTCATGTTGAGAGGAGATAGCATTGGTTCTTTGGGTTATCTTTTTACCAACTGATTATCAACTGAAAGGAAAATATTACGTTTCTTCCTTGACCCTTGTTTCTGCGAGTATATGACATTTTTTTTTATTACAACACAGGACGCAATGATCAAAGATACCCTGGAAAGGGCAACGGAGCCAAACCTAAACTTGAAAGCCTACCTTAAGGATGCTTATATACATCCAGTTTTCAAGGGCAGCGAGCCTGAGAGGCCGCAGTCGATTTTTGAGGAAGAGAACAACCCGCTTGTTCCAACAAAGAGGACCAGTAAACAGGGCTCCGAAGCGGGTTCTTCTCACGGTAGTTAGAGATATCAGGAAGAAACCGTCATCGTTGTTCAGTATCAGCATTCGGTCATTGTAGATACAACAAGGATTTCATATTGCATGGTTGAAATGTAGCGAGAAAAATCATTGAAACCAGTTGCTTCTGAATGAATTTATGATGGTTGTATAAACTTTGTTGCTTTTCAGCTCAAATAGGTTTGCTTTGGTAAATTTGATACCATTCTAATCAGAGATTAGTGCTTTCTTAACATTTTCAATTATTTTATGGCAAATTTAAAATTTTCATTCTTTGGTATGTGAAATGACAACAATTTCTATTTCACCTCTATGTTTTTATTTTTTCAAAAATTAGGCTTAAATTGTATTCATCAATAGCAATTTTTTTTATTTAATATTCAAATAGACCTTTGAATTTCATTTTAAAAAAATATACTTTTGGATTTTAGTAAACAATTAAACAAACTCTCAATTTTTTTTGAAAAATTAAGGTTATAAAATTTTATTTTATTTTAATTGTATTCATTCAATCTTAAAAATGAATGAATAGGTTAAAATGACAAGATTATAAAAATAACATTCTCTCATTATGATTATGCCCTTCCAAATAAATTTAAATTAACTTTTTTACAAATTGTATCATTTAATTAAAAAATTTTAAGCAAAAAATAAATATTTTATACCATCAAAATTCTAATTATAATAAAATAAAATTTATAATATTAATTTAATGCAATAAAAAATCATAAACTTATTTTTACTTTTAGTAAAATTTAGAATTTATCGGGGAATTAGCAATACCATCAAAACAAAAAAGGCGATCATCTTACTCAAAGAAAAAAAGCGTTCTATCATATGATACGCACCGTTTCAGTCACAACGGTGCTTTTTGAAAAAAAACAAAAATGGTTAGATCATAGATGAATGCGTTGTGCGGTCCTTGGGAAAGCTATAAATTCCAAGCACGACAAATCTGCACTTATTCTCTTCTACGACTTGTGGCAACTTTGGTTTTTATTATTATTTTTATCATTCTGGGCTCACTCTCAGTCCTTAACTCGTCATCTTATTCGCTTTTCAGTAATCAATTTCCGCTGATAGAATCAGGTGCTGTAAGTTCTACTTTGATTCTCTGCATTAATCTGGGTTCATGACTGCCACAGCTTCTTTTATCAACTGCGTATTGGTTTGATTGTTATTATATTCTTATATTTCTAATTTCCCATCATTTCTTTACGCTGCAATTTATCTGGGCTTTTCTTGCCTTTGTTTTCGTGTATATATATATATATATATATATATATCTTTCATTTTTCTGCATTCTCTATGTTAATTAATTATTTATTTATTTATCTGATTGCTCTTTCATGTTGAGTGCTCGATGTTCTACAATTATATATGTTAACATGAATTTTTTATTGCTTTCTGGGTGTTAATGATTTTGTGGCCTTGGTGTCTAAAACCATTGAAAAGAGTTATTTTGTTTTAGTTTACTGATTCAGTTGGGCTAACTCTTTCCTAATTTCAAACAGAAAGCCATCTCTAATTCAGTAGGGAAATTATCCTCCTTGTCTGGGAGGGTTTAATTCTGCTCTCTGGTTGAATCTTTTTCTTCTGCAAGAATATATGGCAACTCTTTCTCCAACCCTTACAACAGTGCCCCATTGCCTGAACTTTGGAGCCACTGAATTGTCTAAATTATCAGTTTTCACCCGATATCTTTGGAAAAGCAAAGTGGGACAGAGTCTTAAGAGAATAGATATAGGAGGAAAGCTTTTCCCTGGAGAAGTTGTACAAAATGCCATACAATCTCCTCATTGGAGTCCCGATTTGAGATGCTTTGCTGCAGTTGAGCAAACTGAACAATCATTTACTACAAGTACCCAAGTTGATGAACTTGAAAAGCTATCGGCTTATCTGTTTAGGACAGAAATTGGTGGTCAGGTTAAACTTTTTGTTAGAAAGAAAAGTGCCAAATATGTAGTAGATATTGAAGTTTCATCCATGCAATTGTCCAGTGATGACAGTAAGCTGGTGCTAAGTGGGGGTGTATACCGATCTGATCATGATATCAAGAACAGGATCATTGAAACCCCATTTGTAGCAAGGTCTTCCAGTGAGTTGGCACTTGAGTTGGAATTTGAAGCTAAAGAAGCCCCATTCTACTTCTCATTCTTGTTGAAAGCCTCATCAGGTGCAAATTCAACTAGCTTGGAAATCAGGGGTCATAGGAAGACTAGCTTTTGTGTACCAATTGGTTTTGATCAAGGGCATCCAGCTCCTTTGGGTCTTTCCTTTTCAACTGATGGTTCCATGAACTTTGCAGTTTATTCAAGAAATGCAGAAAGTTTAGTCCTGTGCTTGTATGATGATACCGCATCAGAAAAACCTGCATTCGAGCTTGATCTTGATCCTTACGTTAATCGAACTGGTGACATTTGGCATGCTTCAATAGAAGATGCATGGACTTTTGTAAGCTATGGTTATCGGTGCAAGGGTGACAACAAAGCATTTCAGGCAGATCGTGTTCTTTTGGATCCTTATGCTAAAATAATTGGGAGTTCCATTCCTAATCATCATGAGTCTGGTTTGCTCCCAAAACATCTTGGGCAACTATGCAAGGAGCCTGCTTTTGACTGGAGTGGTGATGTTCTTCCAAACTTACCTATGGAAAAATTAGTGGTATATCGGTTGAATGTTATGCGTTTTACAAAAGACAAGTCTAGTAAGCTACCTCCCAATGTGGCAGGGACTTTCTCTGGTGTAACTGAGAAGGTACAGCATTTAAAAGATCTTGGCGTCAATGCTGTCTTATTAGAGCCAATATTTACATTTGATGAGCAAAAGGGACCATATTTCCCATATCATTTCTTTTCGCCAACAAACCTGTATGGGCCTTCTAATGGTTCTATATCTGCTATTAACTCAATTAAGGAGATGGTCAAGAACTTGCATGCCGATGGGATAGAGGTCTTCCTGGAAGTGGTTTTTACCCATACTGCTGAGGGTGGAGCCCTGCAAGGACTTGATGATTTATCCTATTATTACAGGAATAGGGTTAGAGATTTAGAAGCTAGAAATGCTTTGAATTGTAACTATCCCGTTGTTCAACAGATGATTTTAGATAGTCTTCAGCATTGGGTGACAGAATTCCACATTGATGGTTTCTGTTTCATCGATGCTTCATGTATGTTGAGAGGTTTTTATGGTGAACACTTGTGTCGCCCTCCCTTGGTTGAAGCAATAGCTTTTGATCCACTGCTCTCCATGACTAAAATCATTGCAGATTGCTGGGATCCACATGACATGATGCCAAAGGAAATTCGTTTTCCTCATTGGAAAAAATGGGCAGAAATGAATACAAAGTTTTGTACTGATATAAGGTACTTTTTAAGGGGTGAGGGTGCTCTGAGTAGTCTTGCTACACGTCTTTGTGGGAGTGGGGACATATTCTCAGTTGGCCGAGGCCCAGCTTTTTCTTTCAATTTTATTGCTAAGAATTTCGGACTTCCTCTTGTGGACTTGGTCAGCTTTAGTAATGCTGAGTTAGCTTCAGAGATAAGTTGGAATTGTGGGGAGGAAGGACCTACAAGTAAAACTGCTGTTCTTGAAAGAAGACTCAAACAAATTCGTAATTTTCTCTTTATTTTGTTTGTGTCACAGGGTGTTCCCGTTCTTAACATGGGAGATGAATGTGGCCAATCGTCTGGTGGTTCTCTGTCATATGGTAGCAGAAAGCTTTTAGATTGGGATGCTATGAAAACAGGTTATGGTATTCAAACGACACAATTTATCTCATTTTTTAGTTCGCTTAGAATGAGGCGAAGCGACCTTCTTCAAAAAAGGCACTTTCTCAAAGAAGAAAATATCGAATGGCATGGAAGCAATCAGTGTCCACCAGGATGGGAAGACCCTTCCTGCAAATTCCTGGCTATGACATTGAAGGCTGACAAAGCAGAGAGCCAGTTGAGCTCTGAGGCTTCTCAACTAAAGGGTGACCTGTTTATTGCCATTAATGCGGCTGATAAAGCAGAGAGCCTTATTCTACCCCCACCTCCTGAAGGGATGGCATGGTATCGATTAGTAGACACGGCTTTACCATACCCAGGCTTTTTCTCTGTGGATGGTAAGGCTGTTCGTGAGCAAAAGATGGGCTTCGTCGCTTATGAAATGAAGCCTCGCAGCTGCACTTTGTTTGAAGCATGCGCTGATGGTAGTTGATATATTTCCCTTTCCCCCCTCGATTTTCGTCTTGAAAACTTTGTAGACTGGTAAATCATAGAGGTACAACCTTTTTTTTTTTTTTTTTGTATCTGTAGAATAATTATCTGACAACAGATTGAAGTATGCCAACCAGGATGGTTTTCAAGATAAGTAATGCTGTATATCCACCAGTTTCTTTTCAATAAATAATTATACAAACTAATTGTTTGTTTGTTAACGTTCTTATGGTGCATACATACATACATACATATATTATATATAAACTTCAGCTGCATAAATGGGCCAACTGCATTCTGAGTTTCAGTTTGATAAATAGGGTGATTTTTGTTTACTTGAGATTGTTGTGTTTGCTTTTAGAAAGGTCCAAGCTCCAACACAAGCCCTTGATGAGAAAACAAGAGCAAATCATTTCATTTATTTTTAGAGTCACCTGCATTTCTTCATATTTGCGTTGACGCCCAACTGGAGTGGTACTTAAATTTTTGCTTTTTCAAACTTATTATGAAGTTTATGTTTTTAGTTTTTTTATTTGAGATTTTAGACATTGTTAAAATTGGGAAAGGCCTTATTAATTATGAAATAGTAATAATAAAAGTAATACCCATAAAAAAATTACTTAATTAATTACAAATAAAACATAAGGACTTAATTGAGTAAAATTTAAACTCCACTTTCAATAATCAATTCGGCAGCTGCTGCAGTAGCTCCAACACCACCAAGTCCGAGCAAAGCCATAGCGAGTTCATCCTCATTCCACTGCCTCAATCCATCGCTCAGCCTTTTCAAAACATCGACATTGACGTCCAAAACCCACTTCTGTGTACAACGTACCATCAAGCTCAGAAACCCTGTTACATATGCACGCCAAGTTGCAAAATCACATCCAAGAGATATTTTCCCATCTAATGAACTCGCAAGAAATTCCAAGTGTGCCCCAAGAACCTTTGGCCGTCGTTTTGATGCTGATGAGGCTGAGTCCACACCCCATGCAAACGTACCACAAAGCACTGCGAAGTATGCAAGTGCATAACCCCCCAGCATGGCAACTACACCTCCAGGTTCCCCCCCATCCTGCTCAGGTGCATGGGAAGATATAAACCAAGAAGGTAATGTTTCTTTGATCAACGATTGGACCAAGCTTAATCCACCAGATAGCCAAACCAATGAAGCCCCAAGGGATGCAGCAAGTTTAACACGTGTCATTGCTGCATCAAGAGAAACTTGCCCATATCTCAGACCAAACTTTGTCTTTTTCAATTTCTCCCTGGACAACCTACCGCTGGCAATCTCTCTTACAGAGGACATTAAAAGAGAGACAATTTCTTCTGTCATAAACATGATATCTCTGAACGATCGATGTACTCGTAAGTACATAATCCCTGGGGCAACTGGAGATATTCCACCAGAGAAATGAGAGCCAAAGCCATAGCCAAGGAGTGCACCCACTCCACCGTTGCTATAAATGGTAGAGGGGTTTAATCCAAGAGTAGATGCGAAGCAACTCCTGAGAAGCTGAACTACAGCTTCGCTGCTGTGGTGGAAGACGGTGCGAGAAGCAGAGAACACAATGAAATCATTCCAACGCTTAACCTTCTGAGCCCATAGTGAGGCTATGATGGGCATGCATGGCCAGGGACAACCTTCAGCTAGGGAATTCAATGCTGGGCCAATTAATACGAGGAAACGTTCAGAGGCTTTATCAAGTTTATAGGTTATTGTGAGACTAACAAAAGCAGCCAAGGGCAGAGGAAGCATAGCCGGAGTGTTCCCCCCTGCAAGCAAAAATAAAAGATTGAGCAAAAAAATTAGCTGACAGATTTGTCAAGTCATAAAATTCCCCACATTAGCTTGGAGTAAAATTCATTTTTCCAACATTTTAAAAATTGCAAAATCTTGCTAAATCACTGGCGGCAGATCTGTATCTAAAGTACATGTAAATTGCTCCCAGTTTTAGATTCACCTTCCATTCATGTTTCCATTCAGCAAGGAAAAATACAAACACACACGGACCATCCAATCTTTTCTTTCCTTTGTTCTTCTTAATTACATTAAAAGATACAGAAAAGGTGTTTAGGCCAGTATAACTGGTGCAACTTTTGTTTAAAAGTCACTTTTGGAGATGCAGGTCAATAGAAAATTATCAATTGTCCACAAAGTTATTCAGAAAGGGGGAACAAACATAATGGAACAAAATAATACCTATGGCAAGGCTTGGGACATCAACACCAGTGGCAGCTATAATTTTTTTGATTTGCTGCTCAATCATGAATAAATTTGCTGAGGGACTTGGCCAATCTGTTCCATTCATAAAAACAGGCTTCCATATACCTCGCGTTACTTCAGCAGAAAAGTAGCTGATAATGGTTACCAGGGTTGCAGGAAGGAAATCAGCAAGATCTTTGAGCCCTGAGATATTGCAGGCAAAGAAATTACGTTGCAAAGGAACAAAGATATCTGGAAGAAAAGGATATTGCCATTTCCTTTGTAAATTGATTAGTGCGGAAATGCAGCAGACACACCGTGTTTATGAAAGATATAGAACACCTCAGCTTAAAAAGACTGTTTACATAAATCTTATGTACGATTGTTTAGATTATGCCACATACACTGCAACTACTCCTATGCACTAGATTATATTTCCACTATTTAGTTTTCAGATATTAATGTAGATTGTCAAACTCTATGCAATATCATGTTTTGGAATAGGAAACAAACTCACAACAGCATACATTGCAATCAAACTTCTGCATAATACCAGCAATTAACCAAAGGGGTCAATTTACAAAATTACACCAATCCCAACAGATCAGGAAGAACATAAAATTCAAATTTAAAAACTATGCCTGAAATGTTACCCCCAGCTTAAAATTATGAGATAGAACCCACTTTAACTTGACAATAAGATCTATTAGTCTCCTCAATAAGCTCTTGATATACTACCAATATATTTTCCGTGTATATGCCTACTTTTAAGCAAGAAATTGGAAAAGGACAAACCTGTCGCCAGTTCACGGGGTGAGACTCGTCCATGGGCACAGGCTGTCAGAGCTGCATCAAGCGCATAGGGAGTTCCTTCTAGGATATCCCATGCGGGCACTTTTAGTCTCATAGACACATCCTCAGCCCCAGATGCAGAAGAACTACTACTTCCGGAAGGTGTAGAAGTTAAAGACTGACCACCCCTGCTTATCTTCCTGAACATCAAATTGAGGAGTGCATCAACAATCTGATGAACAGAGGTCCCTTGTACAAGTTCTGACAGGGTGGAAGCAATACATTCTTGATGCTGCCGGTACCAGCGCTTTAACTTGGGAAAGGAATCCAAATATATTAGTTCCAAAGAGAAATTTAAATTTTTTGACAGTCTTTTAATCATCAAACGATCCTTTGAAGATTTTCCAAAAGCTGATAATTTAGAGTTTCGAACCAACAACAGATATTCAGGAGTTAGTTGGGATCCCACTGGCGTTGCATCTCCTGTCACATGTTCAAGAGGTGGATGATGAAACCTCCATAATCTCAGTAGAAGAGTAAATGCATTGGTGAATACTGCATGACTAGTCAGCTCTTCCCCTGTTGGAAGAGCCCACGAAACATTGGGAGCAGTTGACCCAAAAACCTCACAAAGGGGCATCAATGAAGCAGCAAGGAGTGGAACCTGACAAGAATATCAAATAACATCAGCGGGTGGAGCACAATGGATTTCTCCTTCCAACATGCAACCCTTCCTATCCTTTCTTTTCTCATGTGGATGTTAGGATGTGTGCCACAAGGCATTCCTCATTATTCATGCAACATATTGTCTCCATAAATGCGGAAAGGAACAGCTGACTAATTTTTTAATGGTCCAAAATTACAAAGATGTTATGAAGGAGTTCCCCTCAGTTCTACAGAGATTGGGGAAAATCCATATATCATTTATTTGCAATATATGAGAGGAGGATCTTTTCAGTAAACTTGTTCAAAAACCGACCCCATTCACCTTTCTTCGATTCATACAACACACAAAGAATATTCACATATAAGCCAGCAAAAAAATGGGTCATGAAATAAAAAAAAAAAAGAACCTACCAAGCCATGTAAAGAGAAGATTTGCACACAGTCTACAGGTGATATTCCAAGAAGAAGAACATTTAAAAATGGAGCACAACTGATCAAATGGCTCTCACTCCCAGAATAATTGGCAGGAACTGGTGGTGACAACAAACTTGTAATGAACAGAATGGCGTGTTCCTACAAAGTCAGATCCAAATAAATCCAAAATTAGTACATATAGAAGAAAATTTATAGAAAAAAAAAAAAAGATAAACAAACTTCAGAAGCACTTAATAAAGATAATGACAGACTATGTGACTGTAATGCACCTTGTTGGAAGTGACTTTCTGTCAAAGTACCTGTATATTCCAACCACGAACTAGAGATGCCCCACAAAGAATGCTAGCAGCAGATATCTTCTCGTCATCTGAACCTTTGGTTGCAATCTCATGTATTTTCTCGATCTCTGCTAAGCTTCCATCAAATCCATGAGCTTAAATTCAGTTGCCTTAGCACTGGGTAAATTTACAAAAAAGAGCATCTCATATACCTGGCTTCAGGAAAAAGAGGGCTGTAACTGAAGACCAGGTCATAGCCAGGAGATTACTTGGATACTACAGTTAATTAGTCAAGACGCTTTCAATCCCCACCCCAACAGACAGACAGACCCAGACAACAATGAGATAAACATCAAGTATCTGTGGTATGGACACACATTTCTAATTTCTGTATGCATGTATTTATTTATATATATTGTATATAGGAACTTAAAGTATGATAAAGAAAATATCATAGGGAAATAGAAAAAGAAAAAAAGATGATACTATGAAGTAGAAACACACTATTCCAAAGCCACCTTACAACTAATTAACTTCATCGTAGCATCATTAATCAAACACCCAAGAGCAAAATGACAAATTACTAATGTGGGCAATAACTGAAAAAAATATTAAATCTCCCGATATTAAATCCAAATTCCATACAACCAACTTCTGAGCTGAATATAATAACCATAAGATATGATCATATAGTTGACATCTTTCTTCCATCCCATTCATAAGCTCCCAAATCTAGATCTTTAACTATAGTAATAACATAAAATAGCAGGATCACAGTTCATTCAAACTCTTACAAGCAAGCAAAAAGAATAAC